GCGCAGGGGCGGCTGTAAATATTAACCCAAAGGAGCTGCCCCAAGTTGGAGGTCCCTGGGGAAAGTCCCTGGAGCCCCCAGTGCCCCCTGTCGCCTAAGTGGGGGTCCTTGAGGGATCAGGACCTTCAAGGATGGGTCCCCAGAGCGCTTGTCCCCAGAGCGGGGGTCCCAAGGGATCAAGACCCTGAAGGACAAGTTCCCAGAGCCCATGTCACTTTGACCCAGGTCGCCAGAGTGGAGGTCACTGAAGCTCGGGTCCCTCAAGTCCATGTCCCCATAGCTGGTGTCCCTCAAGCCCCAGTCTCCAAAGACCCCATCACCAGACTGGAGGTCCCCATATCCCATATCCCTCAAGCCGTGGTCCCCAAAGACCTCATCTCCAAAGAGGAGGTCCCCATAGCTTGTGTCCCTCAAGCCCTGGTCCCCAAAGACCCCGTCCCCAGACTGGAGGTTCTCATATGCCAAGGAGCTGGGCAGCCCAGGACACCCCCAGGACGTGCTGGAAAAGGGGATGGGACAGAGAGGAGCTGTGACCAGCAAAGCCACCACATCCAACTGCAGCCAGAGCCTCTCGGGAACATGGTGTGTGCCACCGACCTCTGCGGTGGCAGAGCCCGGAGGAGGTTTCCCCCACCCTTTAATGTCTTCAGGGTCCCACAGCTGGAGGTACCTGGAAACCCGACAGCATCCGTATCCCACTGGATGTCCTGCCCAGGGGGTCAAGGCTGCGCCCAACAACCATCTCAAGGCCATAAACAACTCAAAGGTCTCCGGGAGCGTCGCCCAGACGGTCCTCACCTACTACGGGACTGGGATGGGGCTGGCTCAGCCCCAGAAACCCGTAAGGATTTACCAACAAATCCATACGGAGCCAGATCCTGGCCGGTTGCGTGCGGAGGTGGGTGGGGGTTCGAGCTGTGGGACCCCCGGCTGGAGGTGACCCACTGCGGGGCCTCGGTCCTGGCTCCCCCCGTGCTGTCGCAGACCCCCCCCAAGTGTGCGGGAGGAGCAGCCGGTGTCCCCGTTCCCATCGCTTTATTCATTTACATCACTACATTGTTGCCGTTTTATAGAAATATATAAAATACCAACACTCACCAAAAACCCCAACTTTCCCCCAAAAAGGTATTTCGCTATAAAATACAATAAGTTAGCAATAAATAACAGAGTTGTATAAATAAGTCTCTAAGGAGAGAAGAGATGATGCTCAGAGGTGGGGACGGGCTGCGGCCACCCAGGGATGGACCCCCCCTGGCCCGTTTGGGATCTTTTGGCTGGGAAGGATCCACCTACCAAACAAAATATGGGTTTAAATAAGGGAAAATGGGGCAGGAATAAGTTATCGTGGTCTTCGGAGTGGGGTTCACAACCGGAGACCTCAAGGCGGAGCCGGTGCTGATGCAGAGGCATATCATGCCGAGGGGGGGGGTCTGGTTTCAGGGATGTTGGAGCTGCCAGGAGGTGGGAAGGCTCTGCCTCATCTGGACAGCACCAGGTGGGAGGTGATGCCATCAGGCACAGTGGCACTTGGTGACCAGCATGTCCTCGAAGAGGGTGGAGACCAGCCTGCCCTCGCCATCGTAGTGCATCAGCACCATGGGGTCGTAGCCGGCGGGGACGCAGCAGGGCGCCGGGGTGGCTTTGGAGAGGGAGTGCATGCGGGCTTTGATCTGGGCGTGCATGCTGGCTGGCTTGTAGTTGTGGGGACAGGAACCTTCGCAGAACCTCATGTAGTAGCTGTTGGGGGCGATGACCCAATCCGACCAACCGATGTCCTGGAAGGAGACCTTCAGCGACTTGAGGCAACACTTCCCATCGCTCTTCCCGCACTCCTCCTCCAGACCCCGGGCTCTCCTGACCCCCCGTCCCATCATCTCACG